AATAGTGTGACTAGACGGGATTTGAGACTTTCTGGTAATTTGGACATGACTCTTGATATAGTGAAGAATATATGTAACCGACCTACATAAATATGGGACAAGGCTTTTTTGAGTTACGTTTATTGATCTCAATGGGTATCTCTTCCTAAGTTCATTAAGATGCATTTCTTATATAATTTCTTTGTTTTTTCCTCTTAAAAAATGAGAGGAAAACATGCAACTCTGTTGCTGGGGTTCTTATATTGCATGCTTAAAGTAGTCAAAATGACTTTAATTTATACCATGTTCTTTATTGGGTGTTCTTTGTGTATGCTGGAGTTGCTATTAATTAGAGTGCCAAATTTTTAAAACAGTGAGGTAGTTGTGGAAAGATGCTGTGAGGATAATTATTTGAAGCAAAAGGCATGAAAGGACTAGATTGGAGAATTTTTATTTTTTTAGTATCTTGGTATTAATGGACTTTGTAAATGAAGCTCATGGTAGAGGGCAACAGATGCCTTAAATAGGTAATATAACTCCTCCCATCAAGCTCCTAGCATACCCAGTAGGTTCCATGACTTCAGTAGTCATTTCGTCACTGTCTTTGTAGATTCCATCTGTTATGTTGCAGTTTTCACTTGACCTGTCAGATGGGAGCTTACCATATGACTTGATCCCTCTCTGTTCTAGTATACTACTGAAATATTCTTCTGTTTCCTTTGTGGCAGTGTTTTGTAGTAACATTGGAATCTCATAATAGCTATTTCTCATTTATCTTAACTGCTTACAGGTCGGTGATTTGGGGTTGTCGAAGGTAAAATGTCAGACATTAATTTCAGGTGGTGTAAGGGGAACTCTTCCATGGATGGCACCAGAGCTTCTTAATGGCAGTAGTAGCCTTGTGTCTGAGAAGGTTTCTTTCCGATCATCCTATCATTTGAACGCTTGTCACAACATCCTCCTTCCTTACTCGGTTATTTTCCAGAGAAAGGAGGAGGAATAGTAGTTTATTTAAATTAATAATTTGCTGAATGATACTGAAAACGGAAAAGATCATAGCTGCTTTCTTAATTTGGATTTTGCTCAAATGGATTATCTACAGGTTGATGTATTCTCGTTTGGAATCGTAATGTGGGAACTTCTTACTGGAGAAGAGCCGTATACGGACTTGCACTATGGAGCCATTATTGGTATTGTCTCACATCCCAATTACTTGTGTATTTCTAATGTTTATGGTATGTTTGGTATGATGAACTGAACAATACTTTCAAAATTGAGGAAAATGAGTTAAATCTTGTTTATTGTACTGTATAGTGATGTCAATACTAGACTCCTACTTGACCTCCATTAAAATAAGTTTTTTGGAAAAATGAGTTTTGGAATAATGGTTTTTTCGGAGAATGTGTGAACAAAGAATGTGAACAAAGAATATGAAAAATTTTGACTTTACGTGCAAAATATATATTATGTGAATGTGTGGTTGAAAGTGAGTTTGAGAAATATAGTGTGTTGATTAAATGGATGTCAAACAGGGGCAAAGTACAACTAATGTTAATGCTCATAACGAATTTTGCTTGTCTCGTGCTCATTTCATTTATTGCGATAGGTGGTATAGTGAGCAACACATTGAGACCTCCTGTGCCGGAATCTTGTGACCCAGACTGGAGACGTCTCATGGAGAGGTGTTGGTCAGCTGAACCATCGGAAAGGCCAAGTTTCACTGAGGTTGCAGATGACCTACGAGCCATGGCAGCTAAGCTCCCTCCAAAAGGGCAAGTCCAGCAGCCACTTGCACCAACAAATCCTCAAGTCAAAAGCTAATTATACCTATGCTTTGCAGTTTTTTCTTGGAAGTTGACTCGAGAAACCTTTAGCTTAAAATGTAACAACAAAAAGTGATGTATGAATGTCTTATAGACTATTCTATAATCTCTAATTATCTGGTACTGCTATGTCGATAACAGACGTGGACATCTGACCGACCATTCTGTGCTGAAGGTCTTTATTTTTCCATTTTTAGATGTTCGAGGCTGTTAGTAATCCACTTTTTTCCTCACCTTGATTGCAAACACTAATACCATTACAATCCTTTTTCTTTAGATTTGAAATGTAGACTTGGATATCAGTCGAGAAGACAGTTGCTGAATCTGGATATGTTATCGCAATTCCAACCCTCACAATGGTCAGAGCCACCGCCTTTGGATTTGCTCAGATGGCTGGATTTTTTCCAGCATGAACAGTGTTTCAATAGTCTCTTCCGTTTGTTCACTGGTAAATGTGTGAAATTTGATGCCTTGAATAGTTGCTGAAGAAAGTGGCCTTTCTCCCATGATTCTTCAATTGAAATCTATCCTCTCTCCAATTGCCTTTGGTAAAACCAAACCAAATTGAAGTTTTTATAAAATTGAAGGATGAAATTGCTTTTAAAGTATAGTTAGATGATCAAATTGAGGTTTTCAAGTTGAAGATTGAATTTTTTTTTTTTGCAGTACCAAATTGAACTTCCCATAATAGTTGAAGGACTAAATTGAAATTCCATAATAGCTGAAAGATGAAATTGATGTTAATTAGTAGTTGGAGAACCCAATTAAAATTTTGTATTAGTTGAAGGATGAAATTAGGGCTTGGCATGATCCTATTCGGTTTGGTTCTAACGAGAATCGAATCGAATCGAATCCAAAATTTTCGGGTATTAAGAAACTGGTGCTGTCGGGTTTAAATTTAATTATGGAATTGTTCGGGTTCGGTTCAATTCAATTTGATTCTATTCGGTTCCCAAGTTCTGTACTATAATTAATATTTACAAAATTACATTAATTTTACTAATAATATGTTCAATTTTAGCTCTTACAAAATAATGCAGTCTAATTTTATGTGTCTTTTGCTTTTTTTTTGGTTGAATTCTTCATAATTTTGATTGTTAAGATCACATGAAGAAGAAGATAGCGAGCTCACAATAATTAAGAGAGGCGTTGTCGAACTTCAATTTGATTTCTCTAAAATGGCAGAGATGACACTTGTTATCAATTTTAGTCTTGCAAGTGTACGAACGGTAACAAGTAATAGTGGACTTGAAAGTTCGGGTTGTTGATCTCACAATGATTATTTTCTAGCACTTAATTCAATTTTTCTCTAACTACCATTTGATGAAAACAAAATAAAAGTTGTAAGATTTGAGTTTCAATCTAAATTCTAGAAAGTAAATAGATGCATACACAATTGTTTGTAAAATCAAATAATAAAAGGACGTTAGGGCAGAGTAACTTCATCTATTGATCACCTTTACATTTCAAATTAAGAATCACACCTAATGTAGTGTTCGGTCGAATTCTCCTATTATATTCAATTTATCCCTCGAGTTCTCATTAAGTCTACTTAACTAATTAAATTTCATATCTCTATACAAATTCAATTTAGTTAAACGAGTTCATTGTCCTATAAATTCAATTATGACCGCAATAGATGGCATATGTATCTCTACTGGTTATATCAATGTATTGAATTTTACGACATGGTCTAAATTCTAAACTCATATCTCTATTTCTAAAGGATTCAAAAATCCATCAACTTATTGATCAGATAATTTAATGCAATCAATTCATAGTAAAAATCAACACATAAAAAATTAAAAACCAAGATTCTTAATAAGAAAATATAAAAGATCTCAAATGGTTACATTATTTGCCCTAACAATAAATTTAGCTACGCATAATGAAAAAAGAGAAACAACAAATTGTCTTAGAATATATCACAAGATTTTGTATTAAAGATATAGAAGAATAAGTAGATCTTGCACCAAGAATTCCTTCCTCTTCTAGTTGATGCTTTACACGATGAGTTTGTCGTTGTTTTCTCCCTTTGAATTTCACATTTTCTCTCCCAAGATGTGTTTTTTGCCTCCTAATGTGTGGAGCCCCTTAAAGTGTGAGAGTTTTCGTATTTATAGGTCTCATATCGTGTATGAAGAATAGGGTTTTTCTATGGACTCAAAAACGGGTCGAAATTTGTGCCCTAATGAATCTGTGTGCGGCGCCACATCACCGTGATGATAAATGGGTTAGCGTAGCAGCGCCCTGGGGGTGGCGCCACAGTGCTAACTCTCTGTCTCTCTCGGCATCAAGGTTCTTCGTTTTTGCAGCGCCGCAACGCCCTGAACGTGGTGCCGCGACGCCTATACTCTAGTTCTACCTTGGTTTCTAGCGCTTTGGTGCTACTCATCCCACTTTTACTTTGCCTATTTTGCCCTTGTATCACAACTTCTTTTCCATTCATGCCACTAACTTCAATTAATGATCTTTCTTTGTATCCTTTACCATCTCGATAAACATATAAAACAACATTAATAAACACATTAAAAACGTTCCCTACTCGTGAAATTTAACATACAATTAAGTTAAAATTGGCTTAAACTCATGAGTAAAATACACTCGTCAACACTACTACAGAATAACAGATTTGAATAAAACTTAGATCAATCTAATTAAGTTGGGATTGAATTGAAAATTAAAAATAAGAAAATCATATTTTTATGTTTGAGCTCAATTAACTAGCTAGCAAATTTATTTAGAAAAAATAAAATTATTTGACTTATTTAAAATAAATAAATTTAAAAAATTATGAAGATTCGATTCTTATTCGTTTTTGATTTAGAACCTAGAACCGAATCGAACCCGTTGGTTCTCAATTTAGATAGTCGTTTAGGTATTTAATTTAAGAAGAATCGTTCAATTCAGTTCAGTTCGATTCGGGAGTTTTGTCAAGCTCTAGATGAAATTGATTTTAAAAAATAGTTGAATGACCAAATTGAACTTTCCTAATAATTAAAGAATAAAATTGAGTTAACTAATAGTTGGATGACCAAATTGAACTTCTCTAATAGTTGAAGGATACAATTGAAGTTAGTTGAAGGGCCAAGTAACTTTCCTAATAATTGAATGATAAAATTGAGGTCAAAGAATAGTTGGAGGACCAAATTGAACTTCCCAAGAAGTTGAAAGCTGAAATTAATGTTAGTTAGCCCCTGTTTGGTGGCCATTATTTTGGAAAAAGATTGTTTTAAATAGTGATTTTTTTTTAAAATTTTATTTTAGTTACAAAATAAGATTTAGGGCTTATTTAAGCCCCATTATTTAGAAAAAAATGCATTATTCTACTGTATTTTGAAATCATTTCAACTACACATTTTTCAATAAAATAATATTATACGTAAATTCAAAATTCTTTTCTAATTTTTTAACCACACATTTCTCATTAATACACTAATCAAAAATTCATTTTTTCTCCAAAATGGGATTCAAACAAGGGCTTAAATCAGAGAGAAATTTTTTATACACTCAAACAATGCTCATTGTTTTGGCTCTTATTATTATTTTTTCCCCCTTTTTCATGAAACATTTATTGATTTTGCATAATCTTTAATTTGACATACTTTTTATATGTTGACAAAATCAGAACCTTCAATGATCAAAATCACACTAGGCCTCTGTTTCTCTTTCATTTTTTTTAAAATTCTTTTCTTCTATATAGTTATTACCAACCACACATTTAAACAATAAAATATTCTACATGTAAATTAATAAAAGTTCCTTACCTTTTAACCATATATATTTCCAATAAATATTCTACATGTAAATTAATAAAATTTCCTTACCTTTTAACCATATTTTTTCCAAAAATTCATTATCAAAACAATGTTAATCCAAAAAATGCCCACCAAACAGGGGCTTAGTTCCAAAATAATAAATAGTACGAAATCAAAGCCCTATGAATGTGAATCAATACTCACATGTCAATCTCTATCAATTTGGCACCAAGAGTGGGTAAATATGGGCTCAGATCACAAGCCTAAAACACGTAAGGCAGCACCACACGAATGGACCAAGAATCCCACTCAAAAATCACAAAGAAAGCACCCACAAGTCACAAAAAAGCAACTGCGCAGAGACTGCAAAAGAGCGACAGCAAGCAAGGTATTAAAGAATTGAAGCAGGAAATGAATTCCATTGTACTGCCTCGAAGAGAGAAAATCAAATCAGTATCAACTAATCTAACCGCCTAACTAATAGCTGGCTCTAGAGGCGCGCCTTCTTGCTTCTTTCTGTTAGTCTTCTATCTGTTACTCTTCCTCAAGATGGAGTGTGAGGATTAATAACACCCATCTTGGATAATAGGGAAAACATCAGCCTTTGTAAAAATGTCGACTAATTGATTATGAGAACGAACTGGTAGTAATTTGACCGAGCCATCGGTCACCTTATCTCGAACAAAATGGTAATCGATCTCGACGTGCATAGTACGTTGGTGAAAGATGGGATTTAAAGCAATATGAATTGCTGCTAGATTGTCACAAAATATCAATGCTGAATCTTTGTTGGAAATCTAAAAATCCTGAAGTAATTGAATAAGCCAAATTGGTTCACTAATAGTAGATGCTAGTGCACGATATTTAGCTTCAACTAAAGATTTGGATATTGTAGTTTGCTTCTTAGCTTTCAAAGAAATTAGAGAATCTCCAAGAAAAACACAAAAGTCGGTGACTGATTTCCTTTTATCAAGACACGCTTCCCAATCTGCATCTGCGAAGGCTTTAAAACGCAATGAAGATTTTGTAGAAAACAAAATTTCTTGCCCTGGACTTGCCTTGAGATATTGTAAAAGGTGATGAGCTGCATTTAGATGTGGCTGTCTGAGTTGTGACACAAATTGGCTCCACTTGTGAACAGCAAATGTGATATCAGGTCTGTATATAGTAAGGTAAAGGAGGCGACCAATCAGTCTCCTGTACATGGATACATTAGCAATGAGTTTCCCTTCAGATGAACTGAGTTTTAGGTTAGGATGCATAGGCAATGCAGTTGGTTTACATGCCAAGAATCTAGTGTCCTCAAGTAATTGCAGAGTATATTGCCATTGTGACATGAAGATTCCTTTTTGTGACCTTGCTATTTCCAGCCCAAGAAAATACTTTAACTTGCCAATATCCTTCAGCTTAAATTGACTATGCAGGAACCCTTTGAAAGAGTTAATTTCATGCTGATTAAATCTAGTGACGATGAT